GTGCTGCTGGGAGCTGGCTGCTGGCCATAGCCAGGGTAGGAAGACTGCTGCCCGTACGAAGACTGGGGACTCTGGCTACTGCCATAGCCTCCAGATGAGCCATAGCCCTGGGGAGCTGACTGGGCACTGTAAACACATCACCTCATTCTAGAAACAATGCTCCCTGCCTCCTAAATCAAAGCAGGATCTTCCTATCTCGCTGCATATCACAAAAATAATTTACTTTCAAATAAGAGATTATTCCAAAACTTATCTTAATTACTAAAATCCACAATGAACTTAGGTTTTGAGCTACAAATGAGGGATAACGGTCAACATCCGGATGCTAGTGATTTTTGCACAATTATAATATTTTAGTATTTCAGAGTTTGCCTGAAAAAGAAAATACTTATCATGAAATTAAAGGTCCCTTCATCTTTTTTTTTCATTGTGTTTTTTGAGGTTCTCAAACATTTCCAGAATGACTGTGTGATTGTATATGGAAACACTACTATAGCAGGGGATCCAGCTACCCTTCAAAGCAGTTTTCTTCTGGAAATGGCACATAATGAAAAGAGGAGATGGAAGGGAAGCAAAGGGTTGTTAAACAGAGATACAAGAGGAGGGCTAGGTTTCCTTTTTTTGGATCATGGGTACTATTCAGCACTCCAGAATCATCCTTAGAAGCTAGAATGGTGAGACTTCTAGACGTTGTCTGACATACTTTGGACATGTTATCAGAACACCATGCTTGGTAAGGTCAGCACAAAAGACAAAGACTTATCAACAAGATGGATGGACACTGTGGCTAGAATGGGCTCAAACGTAGCCACGGCAGTGAAGATGGTGCAGGCCTGGGCAGTGGTTCCTTCTGTGCTACAGAGGGCCACTGGGAGTCAGAATGGACTCACGGGCACCCAATGACAACATCAAATCTAAAGCCTCAATTTCTGTGTCTGTGAAACTGAGAACACGATGTATCGTATAAGATATGGGAAAGGCACACTAATCACCAGGTCAGTAGGTTGAGTCCCCTAGCTGCTCCAGAGGAGAAAGATGAGGCCTTCTGCTCCTGTAAAGATTCAGAGTCAGACACTCACAGGAGCAGTTCTCCTCTGGCCTATAGTATAGAACTATAGTGTAGCTAGGAGTCAAAATTGACTCCATAGTAGTACGGAGAAAAGCTGTAAGTTATCACTACAGGTAGCAGGTGTGCAGTGCCTTCTGAAAAACAAAAGTAATTGTAAAATTTGTTACCTTTGGGTTAAAATATCTACAAGACTGTGGTTGGGAGCCTCCAAATAGAGCTATGCGGTAATCATGCTTCTTTCTTCGAGGCCTTGTTCCATCTACCAGTTCTTCCCGATCCTCAGGAGACAGTAGATGATACCTCATTCCACCTGCAGAAAAACACAAAGCAAGTCTTTAAGAACTTCCAGCACTTGAATGCTTTGAAAGGAAACTACCCAGCCATAACAGCGCACTGATTTCTGTCACTTTCTTTCATCATCTCTCTATAGCCCCTGAGGAAAGAGTGAGAGGGAAGAGGCAAGAGATGAGTATAAATAATCGAGTCTTAATTTATTATTCTCAACAATTACTATATTTTAAGCCACCCACTTATCTGGCTTCTGAAGTAACAGCTGCCATATTAATTATTGAAAACTGGACATTCTAACCCAGGAATTTCCTATCTCAACTCTAGATTATTTTCACCTAAGAGATCTAAGAAAATATCAACACCTGGGTCTTATCACAGGTCAATTAAATAGTATGTCTGGCTTTAGGGCTCAGATACTGGTATTTCATCCACCACTAGTTAAATTCATTATGACTCACCAACCTTCTGTGCTGAATCCCATAGGGTTTCCAAGGCTGCGAATCTTTTACAGAAGCAACCTGCCTCATCGTGCTCGCCCAGAACAGCTGGTGGGCTCAAAAGTTGACCTTTTGGTTAGTAGCTGAATCCTTTAACCACTTAAACTATTGAATCCTTTAAGTCACCAAGGCTCCTTCTGGTATTTTAAGAGCAATTAATTGATTGATTTAAAGAGCTCTTTAAATAATTGACTGTTTTAAACAGGATTCTAACATCTGCAGGGTCAGCACCACATTGAGAGCTTGTTAGAAAGGCAGAAAGCCAGACCCTAACCAGAATATTCTTCATTTAAAAAAATGCAACACACAAAACCAAACCAAACCCTATAATAAACCTGGCAAGTCAAAGAAACTAAACTACAAAACTTGCTACTTAAGAGCCTAACCCTCATACTTGATTACACTTTTGAAATAATTTTGCTATCTGGTTTCTAAACCAATTCAGAATCTGCATTACGAATAACGAATGTACAAATGTGCTCGACACAATTGATGTATGTATGGATTGTGATAAGAGTTGTATGAACCCTCAATAAAATTATTTTTTTTAAACCACTATGCCCCAATAAAGTTATTTATTAAGAAAAATGAACACTAAGAAACAGCTTCAGGAAGTTTGTGGAAGATGAAATGATGTTGTTCTGTGAATGTTCTGAGATTGGCTAGGTGCCTTCCAAAGTTCACACCACGTGTGACGAAATAAAAATAGACTCTCTGCCATCATGTCAGGCCCATGCAAGCCTAAGGCCGGGGAAATGATAGCTGGTTCTGGAACGGAGGCATAATGAAAGACCGGTATTAAAACGATGAGATGATTGTGAGGAAAGCCCTAATCGCAAGCATTTTCTTGGTCTAGATGGTCTTTCATCTGTGTACACCTAAGAAACTAGTGAACGACTCTTAAACTCTTACACTTCTAAAACATTAGCAATTGATTCAATTAATTCTGAGGAAGAGGGATAAATGATGTTCCACTGTCGTTGTTGCAATGTAAATTATGAATGGAAAACTGACCTGTCCTGTAAACTTTGATCCATTCACCACAAAAGATATAAAAAATCAAGATATAGAAGAATGAATACATTGTGGTACAATATAATACCATCTTATGTACATTTAAGAACATATAAAACAATACCTTTTTAGTTCAGGGGGAACTCAAAAAGTTTTGCTGCAAAAATCATAGACCTCCTTCCCGCTATCTAGGTTTATGTAAGTTTTCTGAAGGTGCTGTTTCCATTTCTCTAACCCTCCCCACAAGGAATTCCGTGTGCCACTATCCACACCACATCAAATGGTAGTTGTTTTTTAATCATTTTATAGGGGGCTCATACAACTCTTTTAAATCATTTTATTGGGGCTCATACAACTCTTATCACAACCCATACATACATCAATTGTGTAAAGCACATTTGTTGCCCTCATCATTCTCAAACATTTGCTTTCCACTTAAGCCCCTGGCATCAGCTCCTCATTTTTCCGCTCCCTCCCGGCTCCCCCCTCCCTCATGAACCCTTGACAATTTGTAAATTATTATTTTGTCATATCTAGCCCTGTCCGACGTCTCCCTTCCCCCACTTTTCTGTTGTCCATCCCCCAGGGAGGAGGTTATATGTAGATCCTTGTAATCGGTTCCCCCTTTTCTGCTTTGAATTTAACGAGTTGAGTAGCTCTTCCAGGAAAGCAGACTTTGACTGGGACTTGCTCTCTGGACTGTATGGGTTAAATGCAAGACTCGCACTGGGTTATGATATACTCCATAAAATTAATTTGATTTTGCTTACAAGAATGACAGAAGCATCAGCTCTCTGACGTAGCTGATCTTCGAGGAGTGTTTTTGGCACCCATCGAGCTGAAAGCTTGCTGATGGCCAGATGTGTGTCTAAAGTTGAAAATGCCAAACAATGGGAGAGCTCTACTCCAATAGCTATCACATCGATGGCAATTCTGCAGTCTTCTTCCACCTGGTTCTGAACTTCAGCCACAGTTCCTACATTTCTCAAGGCTGATACTCTTTAAAACAATGATCAATCAAAAAGCCATCATTTTATGTGGGGCAGCAATCCCACAGACTTGTTGCAGAGCTTCAGTGATTTGAGAAGATGCCCACTTGAGTTTTGCTAAAAATTTGATATTAACCCTGACCTTGATATTGTTTTTTCATGGCCCCCAAATTATCCATTTTAAGGCACCCTAATGAGACTAAAGAGCAAATAACTGGAGAAGCTGGATTACACGAAGAAGAATGCAGCATCAGGATTGGGGGAAGGCTTACTAACAACCTGCAATTACTAACCTTACTAACAACCTGCAACTTACTAACAAAGTGAGAAGGACTTGAAGCACTTGCTGATGAAGATCAAGGACTGCTGCTTACAGAACGGATTAAATCTCAATATAAAGAAAACAAAGATCTTCACAACTGAACTAATAGGTAGCATCATGATTAATGGAGAAATGATCGAAGTTGCTAAGGATTTCATCTTGCTTAGATCCATAATCAGTGCTCATGGAAGTAGAAGTCAAAACCTCCAATGAAGCATCGTATTGGGTCAATCTGCTGTACAAGACCTCATTAGAATGTTGAAAAGCAAGGATGTTACTTTTAGGAGTAAGGTACACCTGATCCAAATCATGGTGTTCTCAATCGTATGCATGTGAAAGTTGGGGACTGAATAAGGAAGACCGAAGAATAATCAATACATTTGAATCATGAAGACTATAGAAAGTAGCAAAAGAACCAACTGACAAAAGAACTAACAGATTTGCCTTGGAAGAAGTAGAGCCAGAATTCTCCTTAGAAGCAAGAATGGCAAGACATCATCTCACATACTTTGGACATGTCAAGAGAGACCAGTCCCTGGAGAAGGACATTATGCTGGTAAAGTAGAGGGGCAGCAAAAAAGAAGAAGGCGTTTGACAAGATGGATTGACATAGCAGCTATAGCAATTGGTTCAAACAAGAACAATTGTAGAGATGGGGCAGCACCAGAGAGTTTTGCTTCAGTTGTACACAGGGTCACTGTGAGTCAGAACCAACTTGATAGCACCTACCACCACCAAGACTAAGACAAGTGGATTGCTGAGAGAACTTATCTGCAACCATCCACTGATCAGACAGACATGTTTAAATCTTGTTTGGAATAAGCCTGTGCAAGTATGAACGGGAATTCTAGTAGCAATACTTTTTGAATTACCCTAGAAGTTTATGGTATCAAATGCCATACTCTTTCCACACAGAAGAGAAGGAGTTATGATTAAGGGGGAGGAAAGCTGTACTTATGATGCTTCAACT